CCCCTGCATCGGCAGGCGGACTCGCAACCACTGCGCCACCAGGGAAGCCCAAGAGGACATATCTTATTCACGGCACTGTCCTCAGTTCCAAGGACAGCATGTGGCACACACAAGTGCTCAATACTACTTGAATGAATGAAGCTCAGAGCACTCAACATCTCATCCTAGAAGAGCATTTAATCAAAGTGCCTCCTGCCTACCCCACCCACTCCCCTTTTTCTGGGTCACTCATCTAAAAATCAGACAATCCCTGCGACTAGAATAATTCTCAGGATGCTGCCCTTCACTCACCTTTTAGGACCTTCTTTGACACCTAGGCTACTGACCCCAGAAAAGAATATCTTTTCGATACAAGTGTGGCCATCCTCCCCCAGCAGGCCCAAATTCCTAGCCAGCTCTTTCATGAAAAGGTTTCTAGCTTGGTCAAAACCCTTACTTTCAAGGGCTATCATCTCCCACCACGACTGAATCCCATACCTGGATATGTCTTGGGGAAATTCCCTACCAAGGAGATATACCTGGAGATACACCCAGGACAAGAGGGGCCCAGTGGAGAGTTAGTTGCACATATGGGAACGAGGTAATGTTTCTCTTGCTGACGCTGGCGGGTCTACCTCCCGCCCATGAGCCATAATGACTCAGCTTCCCCGAGTCAGTGCGCCGCCACCAGCATCACGTGACCACCCCCAAATTCAAAGCCCTGGGTATCTGAGTACAGGCAGCTTTTCCCAGAGCCCCACACGTTCAAAGTATCGTAACGAAGCCACACTGGTTACCCCATTAATCTTGTAAACTCCAAGGGAATAGGATTAAAATACCACCTGGATAGACTCCTGTTAACACAGTCAGCAAGGAGCAAGAGAATACCACAAAACACAAGGGTAGAGGGAAGCAAATGATGGGGAGAGAGCTCTTAGCCACCAGGAAGAAACCCAAGGTGAAAAAGAAAGTAACAGTATCGGTACAGAGAGAGGCACATGATTTTCCTTTAATTACCTTCAGATTTAGGACTAGGAGTAGATGCAGGAAACTGGTAGGTAGGAGTGTAAGGATTGTCCTCTGTAGCAGAGAAAAGCAGTGGATTTTGAAACTATCCACCACGAAGTGGAGGAAGTGACAAATCTCCAATTGATTCTTTCAAATGACTGATTACCTATTTTAGTGTTATTAAAGCACACAGCATCACACTTGAAAAGAGATTAATGAATTAGAAAGGACTTGGTTATTTTAATATGGCACATTCATGCAAATAAGTGAAATAAAATTTCTGCCAACCAAAAGTGACTATAAAAACAAAATCTAAAAGCCAAATCTTATTCCTAAAATGGAACTATAAGAATTAATTTAAGGCTCGGACAACAGATACACTGTCTAAGTTCATGGTACCTTCAGAATTTTGCTGGATTTCAGGAAGTTCAGGGAATTTGTACGTAGGGAAATAAGGGTTTTCTTCAGGAGTGTCTAGGCAGAGGAGCAGGTTTGGTAGAGAGAATAGAGGAAGATACAAATGGAGAGAATGAACGAATAGGAATCCACACACAATTCAGGCTCCTTGAATTCCGGAACATACCAAGCTTCACCAGTGATGAAAGAAATTCAAATTGCTTTTAAAAATCCAGTCCTTTTGCCTGGATTACTGAGACACGTCTAAAGACACAATATCATTTCTCTTCTTGGACAAAGAATTACATAAATACAGTCTCCAATAAGCAAAAGGCATTTAGCACAAAGCTTCAAATTTTCACCTTTTATGGGCAAAAAATATTAAGTGTGCTAATAAATTGTGTGTAAAGAAAACAACTGTCATCAAATGATTTTTTTAAAAAAATCAAAGCTTGTGCTGTAGACATTAGAATCAGGGCAAATTAGTGGATTCTTAATTTTTCAAATACCTCTGCCTAGGGCAGGTAGTTTCACTCAGAATCTGTAATTTAGGTTGAGTTATCATCTATAATATATGAGAGGACCAATGCTGCCTGAGGGGCAGAATTACATATTTTTCACATATGCACCTGTGTCTCGGCATTTGGGCCGCCAAAGCTGGATCTAAAGGTGAGAGAGAGACAGATTGCTGGGGAAATGGACATTGGCTTTAGGAAGTGACCAGTGGAACTGACACCATCTGATCAGACAGCCAGCATCACCACCGTGACTGAGCTCATCTACCTCAAAAAGAGTGAATTTACTCTTGGCTCAGAAACACTAAATACTGAGCATCTCAAAATTTAGAAACAAATTGAAGAAGGGTGCCCCCAGGTTCATTCTGAGCACTGCAGGAGCTAATTAACAGTGATGTTCGCTGGCAGCCACAGTTAATCAGAGACATTGGTTATCTGTGGTACAGGCTGACCGGACAACGACCAGACGCTTTTCCTTTGCCTTCGTGTGTCTTCTGTGCCAGGCGGCCAGACTGGATTTGGCCACAGGGAAGGACAGGATGCTCTGCCTGCAGGAGGAGTGGTACCCTTCTCACAGTGCAGTTGCATCCCTGCCCAGCAGCTGAGTGGCGGCACAGGCAGATGAGAGCTGTGGGGCTTGCAACCTGCCTGAGCACTGGCCTGGGGTTCTCCCACCATGCTGGGTCCCCTGCTGGCAGCCCAGCAGGCCCCTGATTTGGAAGCACTACTCTCCCAGCTTGAGCGGGCTTTGTTGTGTCAGCTCTGGACTGGCTCTCAGGGCTCCCTGCCAAGTGCTGGCTCCCAGCTGGGGAAGATTATTTTTCACATTAACACCGTCATACAGGTGCCCCATGCGTCCTACTTCACAAGGCAGAATTTGCTCTCATTTGGGCCCTGCCACATCCCTCAGAGGAAGGGGAAGGGAACAAACACAGAGAGGTACATGATTGGCCCATGGTCACGTGAGTGCTTGAACCCAGACGAGAACACTTTTTAACTCCCAGTTCATGCCTTCTCAACTTGCTCTGCCTACAAGGCAGTCATGGGCTGACACTGGGAGGTGCACCTAAAGCCAGAAGCAGGTGGGAGCCGAAGCTGCTCACATCCCAGGCAGGCAGATGCTAAAGAATGCGGGCAGAGTGCTGGGCTCAGCCTGCTGCATCCCCAACATCTGGGAGGGAGGACTTGGGAGCCGACCTCAGCTCCCGCATGTGAGGCAGGCGCACAAGTTCTCCCGCCCCCTCTGCTCTTGCAGGTGCATGGCTGGGCTCAGGCAGGCCCGGGCCTAATGAGGTCAAGCTGAAGGGCCCAGTCTTCCGGCCAAGTGAGTTTAGGCCCTCACCACAATAGTCAACATATGGGCACAGCATAGCTTCTACTAATGAAAATCAATACCTCTGTTTAGTTTGTGGATCTGCTTAAACATGGTCTTGTACCAGTCTTTCGATCTCTCGGTGTTCTGGAGAAAAAGAGTAAAATAAAATGGAAATCTTAGCACGTTTCAGAACTTGCATGATTACGAAAGCAAAATGCAAAGTGACAACAGTCCAAACTCATGTAATTCTGTACATCCTTGTGATCTCACATTGAAATCTTTTCTTTTTTAAATGCAAAACTGTTGAGAAAGAACCGACAAACCAAGGGATTCAGACCTGAATCTGTGGGGTAATATTTGGTCAAAAGGATGCAGGTTTTGAAACCAGTGGACAAGGATCCACTTGAAATGTGCCCATTCTTAGGTAATTTTTAGAGAGAACCTCTCACCATGCATAGATGACTAAACTGAAGTAAAGGCTCCTAGAAATGTAAGAAACAAGGAACATATGCTTATCACCCATTTCAGGTTACTCTGAAAGTGTTTCTAAGCCACCTGCATAGGGCTAGATTTAGAATGTATACATTAAAACGTAACCCATTATAGCATCCAATGCCAGAGAGTTTCCATCCTAACCACAAAGCTGGGTTGTTTTTTAAGATAAAAATAAAACGAGGAAGGAGACAGGTGGTTAGATCAGATACTTTCACTCCCACCTTACAGATGAGAAAATATGATACAGAAAGTCAATGGTCACAGAGCAGGTGAGCAGGTGAGAGGGAGGGCTGCCCAACAGGATGGTTAGCGGGAAGGGTCTGCTCTGTCACCCACAGGTGGTGCAATCCTGGGCAAGTAATCCCGCCTGAGTCCCTGTTTCCTCATCTATAAAATGGGAATGATATTAATACTTACCTTGTACGGTGAATCGTGTTTAAATGAGATAATCATTAGCAAATGAACACTGCGATCATTATTAGTAATAATTCTTTCTACTACTACTTATTATTATTGGAATACTTATTATTCCTCAGGGCAACAATTCTTTTGAGGCTTAGCCCACCGCTGTTTCTATCAGCCTCCCCCAAAGGGACACAGAAACCTGTCCTTTGCTCAATGGAAATCACAGAGAAACACATCACAGCCAGTGTTCTGGTTCTGGCACATGGAGAGGGATGGGGTTCACCCCAATCCAGGTTCAAATGTGGGGCTTCTCTGGGATCCCAGGGCCTGCAGGAAGCTGGCGGGCCTGCACAGCGGGGAGGGCTACGCCAGGGCTGCCACGAGACCCACCCTGCTCTGAGGCCTTGCAGGCTGAATCCACCCTGTGTGTCCCCGAGAGTCTCCCACTCTCCCTGGATGACGGGTTGTCTCCCATCCAAGGGCACTTCTTCCTGAACGCATGGTGGCAGAGGGACCCTGAGCCTTGCACTCTTCCCAGGGTTAGAGAACCCCGGACTACAGCACAATAACAAAGGAGACTGGGAAACACGGCTCACGACCTTCCTCTTGAACACACACATGCCTGAAGCCTCTCAGAAGTTCTGTCACAGAGAAAGCAATCTGCCTTTGTTCCACCCAGCTTTCCCCCACATTCATTTGACTGTGAAACCTTTTTCTCATGGATTTAGAAACAGCTAACGTACGCTTTGGGAAAAGTTGTCACCCAGCTCTTGGAGGCTCTGCAGGCCTCAGTGAGCTTAGAGAGAAGACAGTGCTGAGGACCCTCCTTTTGAGGTCTCTGCCACCCACAGACGGGGTTCACATGGACCCAGGGGTGGACACCCGTCGCTGGCTTAGGACAAAGCCTAAGAAGGACCTGGAGGTCCGCACGCGTACCCGGAGTGGGATGCCCACGTCATCCATGGAAACATCGCTTAGGTCCTCAGTGCTCTTTGCCGCCCGCCTGCTGTCATCCTTCACCCTCTTTTCAGCAGCCCTGCCAGCAGAGGTGGGTTTTTCCTGAGTTGGTGCTGAGTCCTGCTCTCCCACTCTTCTTTCCGAGACAGGATCTGGAGAAGAAAAGCGATCATTAGCTGAAGCTCTTCTGGTGGCCCCAAAGCAAATTCCCCACAAACAATCCAGCTAGGGTAGAGTGTGTCTGCCAATTCTCAATTGGAAGGAGTTGGGCCTAGAGCAGGGGTCAGCAAACCATGGCCCAGCCCCCGGTTTCTGTAAATAAAGTTTTATTAGAACACAGCCATGCTCTTCGCTTACGTATTATTTACTGCTGCTTTGGAGCTACAACGGCAGAGCTGGGTAGCTGTGACAGAAACCGTACGGCCTGCGAAGCCTAACGTATTTACCTTCTGGCCCTTTTTTTTTTGGTTTAGTATTTGTTTTTTATTTATTGGATGAGAGATTAGATTCTGTAGTGTTTTACCATTTTCAAAAGTTTCACACACATGATTTCATATAATCCCATAATAACCCTTTGTCCTCCTACCCTTACATTGCCCCCCTTCTCACCGCACTGGTAATCACTAGTTTATTCTCTATACCGGAGTCTGTTGTTTTGTTTTATTCACTAGTTTGTTGTATTTTTTAGATTACACATATAAGTGATATCATGGCAGTATCTGTCTTTCTCTGACTTATTTCACCAAGCATAATGCCCTCCAAGTCCATCCATGTTGCTGCAAATGGCAAAATTTCATTTTTATGGCTGAGTTGTATTCCATTGTGTACATACCACATCTTCTTTATCCATTCATCTGTTGATGGACACTTAGGTTGCTTCCATACCTTGGCAACTGTAAATAATGCTGCTATGAACATTGGGGTGCATGTATCTTTTCAAATTAGTGTTTTTGTTTTTTTCAGATATATACCCAGGAGTGGAATTGCTGGGTCACATGGCAGCTCTATTTGAGATTTTTTTTTTTTTTGAGAAACCTCCATACTGTCTTCCGACCATTAGGCCCTTTTAAAAAATGTGTGGACAGTGTGGTGAGTGCCCTATAGATGTCTGTACTTGGTGCTCCAGACATCCAGGTAGTTCTGACTTTTCTAGGAAGTCAGGGAGCAGGTAAACCACATGAGGGTGGCCAGACACTACTTGAAAGTTCTTGTTTCCCCTTGAGGAAGTCACTTAACTTTTCTGTGCCTCTGTTTTCTCATCCAGAAATGGGGATAACACTTCAACTGGCCAGCTCACAGCGATGTTGTGAGGACCTAATAAAACAGCTTACGCCAAGTGCTCAGAAAACGGTAAACTGCTAAATGCACATTAGAGTTTATTTAATTTCATCCAGGATTGGAAGCTACAGAGAGCTAATAAACTTACCACGTGTGGTCTACAGATTATGAAATTACTTAGTGTGTTCTGTTATTCCAAGGCATGTCATTTATTTATGGGAGGCATTTACAAAGCACCTGCCAGGTGCTATGTGTTCACACGTGCTGTGGACATGGGGGTTAACCATTCCCAGCCTGGCCTTCAAGGAACTGATGGTCTAGTGGGCAGAAAGAGGAGAGCCAGCAATGAGAATGGAGGCAACCAGTGCTGACAGAGGAGTCCACATCCCACTCCGCTGAGGAACTGGGTTCAGGCACCACCTCTCAGAAGGGTCAGCCAGACAAAGAGGAAGTGAAGGGTGCTCCTGGCGGAGGGAATGGCATAAGCAAATGCCAGGGGCCTCTGGACTACTCTGAGCTTATTATGGGCCAGGCAGTGTGCTAAGCTCTTCACGTACATTATCGCAGCTCATCCTCCCAGTAACTCTATGAGGAAGAAACTATCATCATCCCTCCATTTTTTAAAAAAAGAAACAAGTAAAATTAATTTTTATTTTATTTACTCTATCTAAAATATCATTTCAACATGTAATCAGTATAAGCAATTACTAATGAGGTATTATACATTCTTTATCTTGTACCAAGCACTGTATGTCAGTGTGTATATTATACCTACAGCACCTCTTGATTGGGATTAGCCACACTTTAAGTGCACAATGGCCACATGTGGCTGGCTAGTGGCTACCATACTGGACAGAATAGCAGTAGAGTATGAATGCCCATCTAACCATTTATTAGTGCTGTGGTTTGCATTGAGCTTTTCAGAGTATCAGTTACTGATCCATTAAGTCATCCCTCCATTTTTAAAAGACAGGTAAGGGGAACATAGCACAGAAAAGTTAAAGCAGCCTGCCTGAGGTCACATAGCAGTGCGTGGCCAAGCCGGGATTTGGCCTAGTGTCCACCTGACTCCAGCGGTCCTCGCTGAACCACATCCTGTCTGGCCTCCCTCCAAGGTGGGACCAAGGTTTCGAGCCTGGGAGTCTGGCCTGATCCAAACAGAGAAGTCAAGAAGGGGAACTGGGCTGGGGAAGGCAGGGAGAGAAGGCTGCCTGCACTTAGACAGGGTAACTCTGAGGAGACGGCGAGACACTCAAGTAAAAGTGCCCTGGAGACCCTGAAGAAACATGAGTGAAGCCCAGGGAGAGGCCCCGGAAGAGGGCGATTTTGGAGCCATCAGCACAGAAGTGATGGCTGAGGGCAAGGAGATGGAAGAGGTCAGTGGAGATGTCAGCAGAGTCAAGGGCCGAGGTCATGCACGAAGGAATGTCACAGTTACAGGCTGAAAAGCAGGAAAAAAAAAAAAAAGGGTTCCCAGAAGCTTGCAGTTGTTGTTGGAGAGATAGGAGATGAACCGGAGAGGAACAGGCGAGGTGTCACTGAAACCAGAGAAGACAGAGTTCCAAGAAGTGGGATGGTAACGCGTCAGAGGGAAAAAAAGAGAAAAGAAAAAAGAAATTGAAGCAGAGGAAGCGGCATTACCTTAGGCAAAAAAAGAGTCACAGGATCTCTCTGAGGAAGAAAATTTCAGGAGGGGAGTGAGGGCAGATGCCAGATTGCAGGGGAAGGGATGAGTCTGTGGGCAGGAAGCGGGCAGTTAAGTAGGGAGGGAGGTCAGCACGGGAGGAAGGAGTGTGTCAGATGGTCACCAGAGAGGCCAAAAGACTGGGGGGCAAAAAGGGTTACACCGGGGAGTCTAATGTCCTACCAGTGGAGCCCATGAGGTGAGACAGCAGGGGATGAAGATGTGCCCGGGCTATTAGTACGTGTCCGGGAAGGATCTGTTCATTGACTGAGGGAGAGGTTCTCATCTCTGAGAAAAGAAAACGTTCCGAGTGCTGGCTGGAGGACTAAACATTCCATGTTCCAGGGTACATGGAAAGCGGTGCCGAGGTCAGAGATGTCTGTGCGTGGAGGAGGGGTGTGGGAGCTGGGGAAACACTGCCGCCAGCGAGCTCAGGTTTACGACTTTCACAGACTGCTCAATGGAGTGGCTTTGCCCGGGTTTCAAACAAACTACTGAAATGAATACTCATTCTGCGACCGCAGAACAATTTCTAAACATTCTGTGCAAGACAGCTTCATGAGAGCTTCAGAAAACCCCATCACCGTAAGTTGTTTTTTTTTGTTTTGTAGACAGGGATTTTCCTTAATTAAAATGATTTCACACTGCTCTGATGTAATTTTTAATTTTTCATACAATTTTTAAAGGTTATGCTCCATTTACAGTTGTTACAAAATATTGGCTATATTCCCCATGTTGTATGATATACGCTTGTAGCCCATCTTACACCCAGTAGGTTGCACGCCCCACCCCCTCACACCACTGGAAACCACTAGGTGTGTTCTCTACATCTGTGAGTCTACTTCTTTTTTTGTTTTATTCACTGGTTTGTTGTACCTCTGGCATCACCACCATAAGCTTTACAAGATGTTAAGACCAGACTGGTTTTACGGGATGAGTTCTCAGGCTCCCACGAAATTCCAACAGGAGGCCAAGGATTTGGCAGGAAGCTCGGGAGGGTGGGGGGATGTTGAGTTACCAGAGTCCCCCCTTAACATGGCTGTGCTGAACACTCCCCTCCCGACTGGAAAGGCCTTGCCTCAGTGTGATCAAGTTGCAGCAGGTGAGGCTGATTTCAAGCTGTCTCACCAAGTGCTTAGAGATGCTTGTCCTCACGCTCTACTGTCAGCTCTTCAGAGGAAGATCACAGATATGCCAACCTCAGCGTTTCCAGACCTAGAGTAATTCTTAAGAAATTGTTAGGGCAGGTGGCTCTAGCAGCCATCACTTAACTGCAAAACTCAGGCTGACAGTCCGTGGATTTGTTCCCAAACTGCCAGAGTCCTTTTGCTCTACAAAAATTAGCCCTGAACTCTTTTACTTTAGAAGCCTGTGATCATGTGATTTGTAACTGAGTGGGTTTCAATACACAGAGGGCTGAACTGCAGCCTCCAAAGAAGGTTTCTTTACATAGTGGAAACCAAAGGTGACACTTCATTGTATCCTGCAGGTGATGGGGCCACCCTGTGACATCCAATGGGTTACGATGAAGCCTTGCTGCTATTTCTCACTAGGCAAATACATGACACCCTGGAGCATTTCCTTCGAGTTTTATACTGTGCTTTCAAAGGAAGGTCCTGGAAAGGGCCCCTCAATAAAGGATGCTGCTGACAACCTGGACAGGGCATCTGTGTCTGTGGGAGGTGGGAAAGCATCCCTAGTCTTCACATCCAAAGCTTTGTGATTGAGGATCACAGCACTGCTTACACTTCCCTCGGGGAAGGGAGGGGTGGCCTCTCCATACCCTATGCCAGCCCCTCTGTCCCAGCCCTTGTTTTCCTGTCTTTCCACCCAGGGGACAGGAGTTTTGTGAGGCCAAATCCCATGCAGGTCTCATTCCTGGATGAATCTCATTAAGCATGAAACCCCACAGAGGTTCAGTAAAAAATCAGTTAGTGGGAGGGAGGCTGGTGGTCCTTCCAAGTCCCATCACCACTGGGGTGGGGGGAAAAGCCTTACTTTCTCTTACTCCACAGACTAGAGCACCAGCCCCACCAGCCTTCTCTCCTTCAGGAGCTCCTGAACAAAACGGTGCTCTTCCTTTTTAAACAAAACTGCTTTTAGTGAGCACCTACTTTATGTCCCGCTCTATCAAATACCCTTAGTGGATCTGCACCAAAAGTGGAGGATGGAAGCGTTGGGCTTATTTTAAAGCGGAGGAAGTGGCCTGAGTCTGCCAGCATGATAGAGAAGCCCCGACATTCACACGGCACCTTCCAGTGTGCAAAGCACCCTCCTCCCTCTTCCCATCACAAATGATCCCTACAACGCCTCTTTGCGGCAGGGGCAAGGATTACACGCCTATTTCCCATATGAGGAAACTGGCTCAGTGAGGTGAAGTCACTTACCCAGGGACAAACAGCTACTATAAGAGGGAAGAACCAGGGCCAAACTCTGGGTCCCCTAACTTGTGTGAGGTGCCTTTTCAAACTCCCCAAAGCAGGAAGGCGCCCACAGGAGCTCCTTTTCAGAGCCGCCCTGTTCTCGGCAATCTGGGCTGGGGCCAGGGAATGAAGTGGGCTGGAGTGCGGCAGCTCCAGGAGGGGCAGCAAAGGGCACCTTGAGCTCAGCCACGGCCTGTCCTTGTTCCTGCGGCCAAGTCCTGGATGAAGTGGAGAGGGTGTGAGAACCCCATGTCCTCCCCACCAGGCTCTCCACGAATCACAAGGACAGCAGCGGGATGAAGGATCACAGAACTCATGGAGCAGCTGCTCAGAAAAATGGTGGCTTTTGCTATCCACCAGATCAGGGGTCCTCAACCCCAGAGATCACGAGTACCGGCAAATCCATGTGTTTGCATGCATGTGGCTTTTTCTAGAGAATCAATCTACTGCCTTGCTTAGATTCTCTAAATGAGTCCATGACCAAAACAAGGTTACAAGCCACGATGTCACACCATTAGCTGCTTGAGGGCAGCACAGTTCCCTGAAACAGCCCCAGAGCCTGGCTTGGTGCCTTACACAAAGTAGGCACTCAATAAAATGACAAGTGAGCCAATGGAGGCACCTTCTGACAACAGTAGCTCATTTCTATCAAGCACTTGAGTGTCAGTATTCAGTGCTAAGCTGTTGACAAGCAGAACCCAGGAGGCACTACTGCTTTCCCTATTTGGCAGATAAAAACTGATCTGTAGTTTAGATCATGAGTAACCTGCCTTAGATCTCACCATCAGTAGGTGGGAGAACCAGGATTATGGCTGCAGAAAGCCGGAAGGAAATGGCCAAACATTCCCATTTCTGGGTGTTCCCTCCCCACCCCAACCTTGTCCCAATCCTGCACACTTTATCAGGCAGTGAGCCCTGATACCTGATTATATTTGCAGTCACTCCCCACCACTGTCGGCTCTTGATGAAACCTGCTATTCCAGTGCAGTCAGTACAGAGGGAAGCATCAGCATTGCTGGGGAGCTGGTTAGAAATTCAACTTCTGGGACTCCCCTGGTAGTCCAGTGGTTTAAGAATCTGCCTTCCAATGCAGGGGACGTGGTTTCGATCCCTGGTCAGGGAACTAAGATCCCACATGCCGTGGGGAAACTAAGCCCGTGTGCCACTACTGAGCCTGCACACCACAAACAGAGAACCCTGGAGCCCACGCGCCGCAACGAAGATCCTTCATGCCACCACTAAGACCCAACGCAGCCAAATAAATAAATAAATATTAAAAAAAAAGAAAAAAGAAATGCAACTTCTCGCCTATACCCATGAAATCCGAATCTCTGGAGGTGTGGCCCGGGAATCTGGGCTTTGGCCAGCTCTCCAGGAGGGTCTGATGCCAGCTCAAGTTCAAGAAGCTGTGCTCCCCAACCCTCTTCCAGGCACTGCTGGTCTGGAGGCTCTCCCCTTGGTCCATCATCCCAGGGTCATCTATTGGCATTTGGGTTTGCCACCCAAAAAGGAGAGAACTGATCCACATTTCCCAGCCCCAGATTGTCAAACCCTAGAAGAGACACAGAAGCAATAGGAAGGTGGCTTCTTCAATGACGCTGGCCAGGAGCACTCCATCCAAAGCATAGTTCCTTGTCCTTTTTATTCAGAATAGCCAGTTCTTACCGATCAAGGCACTTGTCACTGTCCCACTGGACACGTTTACTAGTTTGCACCACTAGTGTGCCCCCACCAGCCGTCAAGTTCCAGGGAGGCAGGAACCATGCCTGTTTTTATCATCCTTGCAGCCAGCAATAAGCAGAGTTCCCAACACATCAGAGAAGCTTGCAAGACTTCACTGATTGAACACATCAGGTGGTGGACAGAAGATGGCTTTAGCAGGAACAGGTGTTAGTATGTAAATAAATATTTCTCACCTACCTGAAAGGCTACTGATTCGTTTCTGCTGTTCTGTGATAAAAAACATAAAAAAAAACACAGTGTAAGTGAGATTTACACAGACATGGTAAGACCAAGAAGTCCTGGCATAACTCGTTAGGATCCCCAAACCGGTGTCCTTACTGTCCTCTGGGTTTAGATGCTAAAATGCTGTGTAGTCCAGCTGAATACAGGGATATTAATGTGGCTTCATCATCCGGGTGTGCTGTCTCCTGTCCCTCTCCCCCTAGATTTGTGCCAGGATTTGGGGAACAATCACTGTTTTCTGGTTGTTTACATCTTAAAGTGATCTGATCACTGAAGGAGGCCCTCAACTCCCCTGGTCTCAAGGGAGCAGGACCTTATACACCCCAGTCTTGGTACCTTTTTTTTTTTAACATCTTTATTGGTGTATAATTCTTGGTACCTTTTGAGGGAATGTAATCATAACCATGGCAGCTACCATCTGAGAGCTTGCGAAATGCCAGATATCGTTTTAAGAGCTTTCACGTGTGTGAACGCTTTTAATCTTCACAGTAACTCTAGCAGGTGGGTCAGCACTGGCTGAGAGACCTCAGATAAGGGGCACAAACTACCTAAGATGACACTGAAAATCAGAGCTGCGTCTAGAACCTGGGTCCCCCAGGTTTCTTTCCAACTCTCATCACCAGGTCCCACGGGTTCCTTAACAGTGGGAGGTCCGTTGGTTTCCCACCCTCCTGGGCAGTCTCCTGGAAGCCAGCATCTCCTTTGGAGAGTTCTGTGCGTATGTGCTTTGGGATAAGCACAGACATGACCTTTACCTTCTACAGCTGCTAAATATAAAGCAGCCACATGTATATAAATAGAACACTTACCAGCCCATGGGTGCTGTCATCGTCCCCCTTGGCAGCATCCCCACCCTCCCTCCAGAACCAGTGTGGCGAGAAGTAAACAGAGCAGCAGGGGAGCTCGCAGCTGGTGGAAGCCGCCCTGTGTACGTCGGGCACGTGGGCAAGGTTCACACTAGCTGTACCACAGAAGCCCAGCAGAGCCCTAGGCTCAGCTCTGCCAGCAACTTGCCAGATGGCACTGACCAACCACGTAACATCTCAGCCTCAGTTTCCGTGTCTGTTAAATCAAAGTGCTCACTGGATCTATGGTACCCAAACGCTAGTCTCCAAGCTGGAGGCAAGGCCTTCCCTAGCAATCAAAAGCAAATTTATTCAATTGAAAAGATTATGTGGTATCGCACTTCTGAGGTGTGGAATAGCCTCTCCTTCACAGAAAGAGATGCATGCAGTGTAGATCACAGTGGTTGTTTTTCAGCAGTGTTATTTAGCAAAAGTTAGAAATTAGCAACCCCAGGCTAGTCCCCAGGCCGTTTCACGTGACCATGAGATCTAGAAGTCTGGGACTGCAGAACTCCTGTCCTTCATGTGGTCCATGGACTTGCCCTGCAAGCGTGCTGAAAAATGCAGAGCTTCTCCCCCATGCCTCCCCGCCAAAGACCTCCTGAATGTGACTCCCAGCATGCTATGCACACTGAAGACCAAGAACCACCCGTGCACTCTCTCAGTCCTGAGAGTTTTCCAGTTTAAATCCTCCTCCCCGGACTGATCATAAGCCATCTGCCCTCGAACACACGTGGGACGGAAAGCTCCAGAGAGAGGGGCAAGGGCTATGTTTACACAACTGTGAGAGCCAGGCCAGAGGTGCGGTGCCCCTCCCTTTGTTTGCAGCAGGGGGACCTGGCTTGGGGAGACAGGGTTATTGTCGCACTATGCCCCGGGGCAGCCTAAGCAGGAACAAAGGGAACCTTTTTTACGACGACTAAACTAGAATTCTAGAAGTGGAGCAGAGTTATCACTCCCTCAGGAGACTTTGCAATAGTTAAACTGTTTTCACAGGTACTTTTTGTGAGGCAAAGCAGGGCTGCCAGGCTGGGTAAATTCCAAAGCAAAGCCAAAAATGCCTGACCTAAAGTGAGTTGATGATTAGTGATCCAAAGCCAGTTGCACTAGGCGTTTCCGTTCTCCTCGACTCTTCCTGCCTCCGTAAGGAGCGTGGGGGAAGCTACCTTTTAATTCCAAACAGCAAAGTACTTGAACCCTTTCCTGAGGGAGGTGTGATTCAGGCTGCACGACTCTGATGTTTAAGCCCAAAGGCAGGACTTGGACAAAAGAGAAAGGCAAGAACCAAAGGCATCTGAGCGAATAAGAAGACTCCATTTGTTCAGGGAAGAAGCAAAAAGGAACTATAGGCACTTCTGTGCCCAAAAACGTCTCACTAGGTGCCATCAGCAGTAGCTGGCATTACACTTGGCATTTCCCAAAAACCAAGTGGCCTTGGGAATAAACTGCCTTTCCTTCTGGGAACTAACTTGCTTCTTTTTGAGTGGGTTTTTTAAAAAGATGAGTCATAAAGAAGTTCATAGAGAACCAAAATTTCACTTTGCCCTGCATTATGGACACTTTCTGGGTAGAGAAAGCTACTGCCAGTAAGGGGGATGGCACCGCTGAAAGGAAAACAGGCTCTTACATAGCTTAGTGTAGGGGGTGGGACCCTTCTATCTTTTGAAGAACACAGATTCATGGGTGAAAATTAATATGGGAACCACACAGAAAGAAAAAAAATAAAATTACTAAAATAACTAAGATTTGAGTGGGATGTGGCTGTGAGAGGAAATGTTTCATTCATCTGCTTTTCAAGTTTGGGGCAGGAAATAGAAAACTCCATTTAATACGGAAAACAATTAAAAATAGACTCCAGTCTCATTCTCATCCAAGTCAATACAGAGAGGGAGGGGAGGGGAGGGGAGGAAAAGTATGAAGTAGGCGAGCAGGGAGTCAAGAAAAGGAAGATTTGGTACCGAGCTTTGAGCTCTAAATAAAATACTTAAACCTCCACCGTTCTTTGAAATTCAGACTCAAGAGCCCTTTCTACACTAGGAAACTGCCTGAAGACTTTACATTTCACACCGCAGAGGACTTTTGTGAAGGGGACGTTTATTTCTCTACGGAATTTCAAAAAGGAAAACTTGGGACTTAGAATCATCTTCTGGGATTTTAAAGCAGAAGGGTCAACATATATCATTGCTACCTCAACGCGCTCCGTTTCCCCTATGACGCCCCTTCAGAGAAAGGGAAGAACCAGCCACCAGCAGTCAGAGAAACTCTAGAAAACAAACATGAAAACCCTCAGCCGTGGCCGCTGAGCCTGCGCGTCCAGAGCCTGTGTTCCGCAACGGGAGAGGCCAGGATAGTGAGAGGCCCGCGTACCAGGGGCCACATAGGGCAAGGGGCAAAGAAGCCACACCAACGTCGAGTCCCCAGAGGGCGCCACTGAGGGAAAGCCCAGTGCAGTGACTTCTGAAGAGAATGAAGGCCATGAGTCACTAAGAAAAAGTTCAAAAGCCTCTGTTTCAGAGATACAAAAACATGTTTTCCATTCTAGAAAATTTCCCATCCAGTAGGTTTTCTTTTCTTTTTTTTTTTTTTTTTAAATTTTGGTGCTCAAAAGTTTACTTTCTAGAAAATTCATGTCACAGAACTACAGGATTTAGGACAGTAATTAAAAGAGGTATTACTGCACTTGGATTTTCCTAGCAGAGCCCTGACGAGAATTCTCCTGACGGTAATTAAGGGGCAGATGTTTTCCTTTCTGTCTTTTCTTTCTTTTTGGAGCTCCCATCTGAAGAAAACTGAATACCCAGGGTGTGGGACACACGTCACCTACTTACTTATTCAGACACCTGACCTCGTGCCCAGACAGGGGCCTCTGTCTGCTGCTGTGATCTACTTTGTGGGTCGTGGGAGTGAGTAAACTGGGGCAGGTGGCCTCGGGGAAGGATGGGATTTGTAGAAAATGCTGTGGAATGGCAGAATCCTTGCCCCAGATGTCACAGTGCAGCTATGGCTGATTCCAGCCAGCTGGGGGCGGGGTGCTCCTCACAGATCCCTTACCTCGATTATGTTGCAAGAGTACAATAGTAGGATTGACAATTGTCGTGGAGGGGTAGGCAGATGATGGCTTGCTAACTGGTGCAAAGGTCTGGGAATCAGTTCCAACGCGCGATGAAGAAACTTCATTTAGTAGAGGACTTGAGTCCTGAAAAGAGAAAACAAACGTTGTCACTAACTGCAACTACGTGAAACCAAGAGGTACCGCTTTTTAAAAAGAAGAGAATTAAAGCTTTACAGGGACCTTAATTATAAAAAGAAATGTAACCAGTGAGACATATTAATTCCAGTTAGGTAAGTTTAATCTGGAATGTTTGTTCTCTTTGTTGGGATTAGTAAAGGGAGAGAAGGAAGGTGACTGTTACTCGAAGTCTCAGCAACGTCATTCATTATTTTCATCTGGTCATAACTGTGGCTCAATCCGGTTACTGAAAAAGCAAATTCAAAGAAGCATAACATGCAAAACTCATGCAATCCCCAATGCAATCTGAGAACAAAAGGTGGTTTAATTGGGGAAAATCAGGAAAGTTTAGTACTTGTTTAGAGCAACACGAGACACTGTGAGGACAAGAAGCCATTGACGTAAGAACAGGGAAGAGTTAAGCACTGGAACTCTTGGAAAGCTACTCTTACCTACACCACTGAACGACCCTACTGGCACTTACTTCTGAGATCTGGACATTATCTTGTCATACTGTGACATTTTCTCACTCTAATATTGACTGACAAAGATCTCTGAAGTAAAGACTTATGAAAATCCTGACTTGGAAATCCTGAGGTGTCTGCCAGAAATACCAATAAAATTATTACTACTAACATTATAATCTGCATGATGGGAATAATAGCAGTCTTTTTAAACACATGAAAATAGGACCTCAAAACGTAGTAAAGATATGTAGACAGTCTCCTCTATCATGCCTATAAATTTTGCAAAGTTTCTATTTTGAAGTTTACACATCCCAAAGCCACAATGTCATTCCCAAAAGGTTTGAAGAACAAGACTGATAGTTACCTTCTAGATAAAAGTGTAGCTCGAAGCAGTCAGTGTGCGCCACCAGAGACCAGCTGCTCTGTAAGTACCTGCAGGACAAGGGCTGTGCCTCCCTTCCTCCTCTTCCCCCTGCACCTAGCACAATGCCCTGCAGACCACGGGTGCTCAGTAAATGCCACACGGCTGACAGAAGTCGTCTACCAGCAAAGGTGTCTCTGAGCAACCTCTGTAGCAAGAGAACACGTGCCCACCAAAAGAGAGGATGTGAGTGTCAGGACCCGGGACAGCTCCTGACACACAGTAGGAGCTTCCTTTAAAACCAGCGGCTTGGGGCTTCCCTGGTGGCGCAGTGGTTGAGAGTCCGCCTGCCGCTGCAGGGAACATGGGTTCGTGCCCCAGTCCGGGAAGATCCCACATGCCTCGGAGCGGCTGGGCCCGTGAGCCGTGGCCGCTGAGCCTGCGTGTCCGGAACCTGTGCTCCGCAACGGAGAGGTCACAATAGTGAGAGGCCCGCGTACCGAAAAAAAGTTTTTTAAATACAATAATAATAATAAAAAATAAAAACACTGGCTTGGTCAGCTCACCTCTTCTGAAAGTGCCCTAATGTCACAGCTGTTAGTTATGAGTGGCAGCTCAGTTTAGAAAATAAAACCTTTCCCTAAGACTCAAGAGGCACAATATGATCTTGTTCAAAAAGTGCCTCATCTCAATTTCTTCTTTTGTATAGTGGAAAAGCAATTACACTTTTCCTAATTTACTTCCGAAGTGATGTAATAAAGATAAATCTGCCACTATGCCCCCAAGAAACACACAAAAAATCAGGCATACAGCTCCTTAAAGTATAAATGCCTGGATGGATCGTGTGAACATTAAGCATCTCACAAATTTTACTCTGGCGTAAATCTTATTTCTGGAACATCACAAAAATAGCTATTGGCTAAAAGAACCTGGATCAATTAACATGAATTTTCTTCCCTCTTACTCTCCAATCCCTGCAGATGGAGCAGATATCAACTTGCGGCTTGGCCACCATCCACAGGGGCTCCTGTTCCTCTTGACAATTCTCACTCATTGCAGGAATCCAACCAGTTTCCTTTTTCACCTCTTACTGTTTGTACCCAGGGCCAAACCAGAAGTTATCGGGCCAAAGGAAGTCCTCCTGGGAAGTCAGTACCAGGCTGACCAAACAGGTTTGAGAAATTGAGGACACTGTCCCCACTAATCTGTCCTGGCATACATGAGACAAACTCAATATGAAAATCTAGATCTATGCAAATGACAAAGTGTAGGGTACACAAGAAAGCTACTCATGATATACTAGTGCACTAAAAATAAGATTTGCTTTACATGATGCTCCAGAGAAACATTCTGTGCCTGTACTGTCCAAAACAAGAGTGGCTTTCTAAATGCACCTACAAATTAAGCTGGGGTGAGGAGAATGCATCAGCGAACAATCTAGCACTTTCCTCCAACAGGGCTGAGTGGAAAAGCTCAAAGCTAGGGTAGCCAAAGCCCCTGGGCCACATTTGGCCAGGTCCTCACCTGACCGTGATGTGCTGTATCTAGAGATTAGAGAAGAGGACCCTGCCCGGGATGTAGCCTTTCCCAGCTTTGGCGTGCCTGATATCTCACTGTAATTTCTCTTACAAGTCAAAAACCAAGTTTCCTTCCTGCTTTCTGTGTGACTGGCTTCAGTTTAATGAGCCACTGGAGCCAGTTTTGTAGGCATACCTCTTTCCACAGAGGGATGTCAATGAACGTTTAATTCCAGCAGCCAACTGCATGACCCACTAGGTTGCTACATTTTAAAATGTGGTCCACAGATCCTCAGCGTCAGAATCCCCCAGGATGCCTGTTACCACATCTCAGTCCTCGGCCCCTCCCCAGACCCACTCAATCAGAAACTCAAGGCGTATAACCTCAGAGGATCCCATGTGCGCTACACTTGAGCACCAATACACCACTCAGATAAATCCTGTTCACAGCTGTGCCCACAGAAACTAGCAGGAAAACTAGAACGTGGCAGGAACTCAATGATAAACTGCTACTTAGTCAGCCACTTATTTTTGAGGAGCTCTGGTCCATTTGCTAGGGTAACCCCTCAGCCCCAAAGCTAACAGTTACTGGGCGCTCTCTGTGTGCCAAGCCCTGCATCAGAAACTTCTGCGTACTCAGTTGCACTGCACCCACAGCCCCGACAGATCTGTGCGTCCCCATTTTACGACTCACACTGAGGTTCTTGCAACTCTCTCAGCTCCCAGGGCTCCTGAGGGGAGAACAGACTGAGCCCTTTGACTTGGCCTTTCCTCTAAAGCACTTGGGCTTTCCCATTACGATGGGGTCTCGTCCCTCGCAGGACAGGACCTGAAGTGTCGGGACACTCTAACTTCCCATGACCACTGGGGCAGGTACTGTTTTGCATCAAAAGCCCCTGGCAGCCACCCTGCAGGGGCCCCAGCAATTTTCTGCCTTTTGAGGAAACAGTGCTAATGCTTGTACCAGGCTTATATATCCATTTGCTCAATTAAACTTTTTTTTTAAACCCACTCTCTGCCATTGCTGTATATAAAAGAGAGTTTGCTTACTTGCAAAATCAGCATGAGTGAATCTTTCCCTCCCCTAGAACCTCCCTGCTCCCTGTTAGAGAAACAGTTAGCACCATGCCTACTGATGGCTTTTCCACGCAATTCCTCAGCTTTCCTCCGCTCTCCGCACTACATCTGCCTGGCCTACGAGGAGCACAGCTAACCAAAGGAAAGGGCACAGAGGTGGTCTGCTCTGCAGGAAGATGTGCATTCCAAACAGGACAGAGAGGAAGAGTGTCTAGAGAGGTTGCTGAACAGCCACAAGGGGCCCACGGAACACACAGGGGAGGCATGCTCTAGTGAAAGCAAACACGGTTCCCGTCATCACACAAGCACAGGGCAGCCAACATCTCTCAGAACTTAGTACTTGAGTCAGAAAGGGTTTTCTGGTTTTTCTTTCTTTTCTTTTTTTTTTTTCTCTTTACTGCCGGGAGCAGACATTCAGGAAGGCTGTGAGGAAGGGGATCTAGCAAGCTTACGGTACTCGAAACAGCTCCCGTGAGGCCAGGCTCCGAGATTCTGCGGAGGCCCTCGGGGACCGGAGGGACCAGCGGAGGCGGTGGTGAGAAGGATGGCGGTGTCTGGCTAACGGGGGGGAGGGAGCCAGGAGTGCTGGCTGGCTGGCTGTGGTGAGACCGCCTCTGCAGATGAGGGGGAATGAAATCGTCTAGAGTCGGCAAGGTCAGAGGTGAGCCGGCAGGGACGGCCGCCGGGACCGGGGGGCCGTGGGGCCCCAGAGATGCTGGAGGTCTGTCAGTGCCTTCGTGCCCTCTGTCAGTGTTAACCAGGTAGAGAGGGACAACTATTACCTCAGGCTGGGCTGGGCTGGAGGAAGTGGCATCCTGTAGGAAATAAGGGGGTCATTACGTAAAGGGGTACGGCAGGGAAGAAAGAATTCCATATTTAAACAGCTGAGAGCGGACATGCAGTGATGTACGCTGAGAAATATTTAATCAGCGCCCTTTCCTCAGAGTACACGAGACAGTCAGTGCTAGCCAGTTGGCCTCCTAACACTATGACACAGAGGGAACCCCGTCCAAGTTTACTTTCCACCCATCTATTTTTGAGTCCTTTTAACACTTGAGAAACAGAGAACAACAGAACAGGCAGGCAGGCTGTGTTTAACCCCAAAACTGCTTGCAGAGCCTGAAAGTTTGGGAGTAAATACAATCTCTTTGGCACCTTGTTACAAGACACATGTAACATAATAGTTCACCATATTATTAGTTTACGGATTCCAGGCTCCAGCATACTTACGTATTTACAGAAAATAGAGGCGGGGAGACGCAGGGAGGACTGTGCTGAGATGCTGAGACAGAAGGGTTTGGGCCTCAAGCTGCAGCACCATTCACGAGGAAAAGGAAGTAGGGCGGCCCAGAAAACAAACAAGCTGCTTGCATGAGTTTTCGAAAGAGACGGTGTAGGAGACACACAAACATTCCTAATTCCTTGCCTTGGCTGGGTAACAGGGCTGCAAAAGGTAAGGTTCTTTTCTCTTCCGGTTTTCGGGATCAGAGGTAACCTGGGGGTCTAGCACAGGTGGTCTCACTGCGTCTGCTGATGAAGGCCGAGTCCCCGGGGAAGGACTCTCGCCACGGCTAACGGCATCCTTACGGATGTCAGAGAATAGCTTGGGAGGGCCAGGAGAAGGAGCAGAGGGTGGCTTCCCCGCGCCGGCTGTGCAGGAGGCAATGCTGGGAGCCCGTGCTTGAGTGCCCGCAGCTTCCAAGGGAGTGCCTTTGTCTGGGTCATGTGCAACACCAGAGAGGTTTGCCGATGCCACGGGGCGAATGTTACGGGATAAACAAGGTACATATAAGCTGCTGACCTTTTTATTCCCAACTGCCTCATGACGTGGGTTAGAGCTCACATTCTCTCTATAAACTGTCCTGGCAGCTGCACAGCACTGCTGGGGGTGGGACCAAGCACTGGGGAGCGTGGAACCCGGAAGTGAGGGCCCAGGACACAGCACACCTTTGGGCGCTAATCTGGCTGCCGGGGGGACGGAGACAGCCTGGGGTCGTGAGGGGCTCTGCTGGCTGGGGGTGCCGGGTGGGATGTAGGGCTTTGGTGAGCTCAGGTAAAGGGAGTCCTTGAAGGAACTGCGGGTGCCGGGGGGCTGCCATGCAAAGCAGTCCTCTTGAGGGAGAGGAGGGCATGGGGGAGAGACGACCTTTGGTAGTATTTTTAAGACACAATAAAAAGAAAGAAAGAGGAGGGGAAATGGAAAGAAGGATGACCATTAGAAATAGCACAACATTACCTGAAGAAAAAACAATTCTGGACACGTTTTTAAGCAAATCCTCAGACTCCTCATGGCCCGTACATTTTTCCTTGTGGTAAAGCCAAGGACTGAATCCTACTCACCTGGAGAGGCAGGCCTGACTCTCCTTTACATCACAGGGAGGCTGAGCTCAGCCCAGGTGCTAAGTCAGGTTGACACGAGTCCTGGGTTGACCTGTACCGTCTGAGACCTCCTGACCCAAGAAGGGTGCCCAAGGGTTAAACGCCAGTGGAAGAAGCCCCAGAGGCCCCAGTTTTCTCCAAACCTCAAAGATTTTCCTCTTTGTACCTTCAGCATTAAAAGTTTAAGTTCCCTCCAACTCGAGTGTCTTCCATTCTTTTCCCTCAGGAAACGGACAACTGGAAGAATCATCCTTAGTTGTTCACAGGAGGCAGCCGTCTTAATTGAGTCACTAAGATTTAGCACTCAGTTCCATAAGCGTAACAAATTAAAACTCACCAAGAAGAGAATGCTAGCTAAGGACTTAGAATCCACACGTGCTCTTGTCTCAGAGGAAACAATTTGATGGAACTAATTATTAGAAGGAAGACAGGCATGAGATTAAAAGCATGCAGTCTCCCATTTTTGACGCACCCAGAACAAAGAGACCAGGCAATGAAGCATCTGACTGGATTGGACTGTGCCTGTTTACCAAATTCCAGACCATTCCTCATTCCCACCCAGCCCACCAGGCACAGACAATCCTAAAAGGGGGTGATCAGCCTCAGGCTCATGGTTTAAGCCCAAAGCTCTGGTTCCAGGCTCAGAGCTAGAAAACTGTAGTTCCCACCTCATTCCCTCTCCCTCAACACAGCCCCTCACTCCTCCCTGGGTCTCAGCGAGGCAGAGGGTCAGGAAATGCGGTAAATCTCCAGATGATCCTCATTTCAAGGACAGCCACCTGTCAACCTGTGGCTCAACTTGGAATCAAGTAAGATAAGTTTATTTTCCTAATGTTATGGACTGGATGTGTGACCCCTCAAATTCTTAAGTTGAACCCCTAACCCCAAGTGGTGGCATTTGGAGATGGGGCCTGTGGGTGGTAATTAGGGTTAGATGAGGTCATGAGGGTGGGACCCCATGATGGGATAGGGGTCCTTATAAGAAGAGGAAGAGAGACCAGAGCCCTGTCTTTCCACCAGGTGAGGACACAGTGAGAAGGCAGCTGTCTACATGACAGGAAGAGAGCCCTAACCGGGAACCTAACAGGCTGGCACCTTGATCTTGGACGTCCCAGCCTCCAGAGCTGTGAGAAATAAATGTCTGTTGATTAAATCACCTGTCTTTGATACTTTCTTATAGCAGCCTAAGACACCTAGATTTTCTTCACTGGCCCCTATCTTTAAAGATAGCCCAGTATGAGAAGAAAATGAGAACCTTCTACTAAATTGCACAGGTAAAGTATATTAGAGTTTGATTGATAAATGGCAAAGGGATTGTGACCCCAAACTGGGAGGGTGCAAGGGTGTGGGCCTATTTGTATTTTATTTTTATTTTTTGTGGAGTGCAGGCAGCAAGGGGGAAGGAATGCTAGTGAGGGTAAATAAATGAGAATAAAGTATGAGTCTGGACTAGAATATTAACCCAGAGACAGTAAACAACCCATCCCTCAGCAAGCTAGGTTAACTTGATGCCTATCCTTTCCACAGGGTGCCCAGGACACTGCCAGTGGAATGTGGCCATGTTTACCAGCCAAAAATACAAAATGTATTTTCAGTCATTAGTAGGAGCAAAACCATCCAGATGTACTCTCGGTTTCAGTGAACTTAGGCTGGAGGTTGGGGTGTACTCACAGACTAAAATGATGCTCTCTAGAAACAAAGCACTTGACCAAGCACGCACAAAAGGGACCGCGGGTAAGTTGATGATGGTTGCCAGGGAGGTAAGTAAAAGGCAATTTTGAGTTAGGCTCAAATTTACTTTTACTTCGAGCTCAAGTGTCCCACATGTGATTTCTTCTTGCCCAAAGACAGAAATCGGTTTCAATGACTTTTTAACTTAATTTGGCTGTGGCCATATAAGGTGCCAGGGCTGCATTATAACAGGCCTGGGCCTTCCCAGGGCTCTGACCTTGTAGAGAGGACGCTTCCCCAGAGTGTTGACAACGCACTCAGAGCCAAGGCCTTCCTGTCCTGGGGCTCCTTTTAGCTCTAGAGAAGGAGGGGAATAGGCACAGTCACTTTACATGTAAGGAACTACTTTCTGTTTTATTGTGAACATTGTGGGAACCATATAGGCAGTTGGCATTCCTCCCCAGCTGGCTACTAATGAAATTCCATTTATCTTTTTAGAAGATGGGGTGGTGACAAAAATGGGGCTGCTTGAAGAATCTGACATGTTCCTAGTATGTACAGTTCCAGAAACTATCAATCCCTGCCTCCACTGGGGATCCCCAAGATGATGCTGTCAGAGAGGGGAAAGCCCTGATTCTGTGTCGCTGCGGGTAAGGAGAGCAGGGTAGCAGGAGGAAAGGCAGATGCATCAGGAGATAGGATTCCCCTCTGGCCCGTGTGTCCTCGGACTCCAACTCAATCCTTAGGAGGAGATGCTAGGCCTGTAGGTGTCTGAGAGCTGTCTTCATCTGAAACCAAGCCAGAGTAGTCAGCAGCCCAGCCCACCTTGGCTTTGTCTAAGCCAGCATATACTTACAGCTCTGGCAATAGCTAGAGACAAGAAGTCATTTTTGCTTTCAGAAAATGAATCTATGACCTAAAGCCTCTTGAAAGTTGGATGGCCAATTTTACACTGAATATACAGAATAACACCTCTACATCAGCAATATGCCAGGTATCCTTTCAGACACCCAGGTAAAAAGAAAATTCTCGGATAGTGACAGATGAGAAAATGCATACACTATTCGTAGGCCATATTACAGGATGACTATCCTTGTTATGAGGCTCACCCTTACAAACTCCTTGAGGGCAATGTTTACACAGTGATCCAAACACAACAAATGCTCAGTAAAGTTGCTGTAAGTACATGTATTTAAAGGGGATTTTTATTTACTTCACACGCTGTTAAAATTCTCTCTATAGAAGAGCTATTTAAGAAGCCAAAAGGAATTAGTGAGCTACCCTTTGGGCTAAGTCCCTGATAGTGGAAGAGGAGGTGCTTCGACACTTGCCTTGAATTGATCAGAACTATTTCCTACCCTTGATATAGAGCCAACTGTATCCAACCTGGAAAACGCCAAGAAGGAAGTGTGCCTGCCACCAGCAGCAGATTAGATGCTGGGAAAGGTCTTAGAAACAGGCAAACTATGGCCAGTCATTTACCAGACAACAGACCTCCCACATCCCGAGTCTAATGAGGACTTCAGGAGGCCAGGCCCATTCACAGCTCCTGGCCCTGACCAGCGGCCCTGCATGCACGTGGCAGTAGCTACAGGAGACAGGCCATGGTAGGGGCGGGGAGGCTGAGTAGTGCTGCCTTGGCAAACGATTCAGCAACCTCCTCTAAGCCTGGGAGACAAGGGTCTGCAAAGGGGAAGGAAGGCATCATCTCGGACTTGGTTTCATTCCAGGGACGAGCGCAATTTTATGTCCTCACGAGCAGAACCCAGAGGATTATCGGAGAAGTGGGGGTGGGAACAAGGAAGGCACGTGGATTCCCCGGGCTCCTTGCGAGTTGTGGGAGCATGTGCACAGAAGACAGGCAGGCGCAGGGGGGTGGACTGCGTAGGGAACACATTTCTGCCGCATTTTTTTGAGCAGCGCAGCTCTATTTAAAAGAAAGGATTGCTCTGTTCCATGGATATTACTCTGCTATATAAAAACACTCTTCACAGATTGCCTGAATTAAAACAGGGTCTATTACTTTCGTCAAGATGGCAAAGTAGGGAAGTCCCTGGCAGTCCAGTGGTTAGGACCCTTGCTCTCACTGCTGAGGGCCTGAGTTTGATCCCTAGTTGGGGAACTAAAATCCCATAAGCTGCACAGTGCAGCCAAAAAAAAAAGGCAAAGTAGCAACAGGAAGGGGAAGAAAGAAAGATGAGGAAAACAACTTAGGGGGAAAACTTAAGCAAAGTTATTCCTACTGCAAGTTGTACAACGTGGGGTACACTTTCTTTTGTAGGGTAGCACTAGGCAGTGTAAAGCCCGCTGTACTGCCATTCTGGCTTCTGCCTGCTTCTAGGCTGCTGGATTCCGCGCTGGCCACAGCTCCCTGATCTTAATCTGTAAGGACGGAGCTGCTGAAACTCCTACAGCCTCAACACGAGCAAATTAATGAAATAAACACAAGAGTGCAGTCGCCTTCTGAATATTATGCTCTAAAGAGTTTTCATAAAACAGGCTCAGACCTTTTTCCCACCTGGCATTCCCTCTTTCAGAACATTTCCACACACGTTTCAAACCTACGGAATACTGGGCTTATGCTTCTGATACCCTGCCTGGTACAGACCAGCCTCATCCCATACATCTGCTTCCCTTGACCCCAACTTCTCCCTAACTCTGGTCTTCCCGGGGCTTTTTCAGAGGTGGCCAAAAGTGGGACTCAGAAGCCAGTCCATCATCCAACTGGGCGAGCAGGAAGTCACAAGTGCAAGCTAAACGACTCAAGAACAGTCCCCACCCCGTCCTTGGGTGCCCACCTACCTGAGGCTTGTCCGAAGGAAGGTTGGGATGCACACTTCGGTAGCCCTTGGCAACGAGTGGAGAGGGCTGGGCATTTCCATTGGCATCAGCATTGGAAGGAAGCCTCCACTCATCTGAGAGATGAAAAAAAAGAAGAAACCCCTCACTCACAGGAACACTCCCTGGTTCTCCTCTTAATTGAAGGGTTCCCCTCTAATTGAAGGGTTCCTGGTGGAAGGCAGGGACAGAAAGGATGAAAGAGAAACCATACCTGCTGAGGAATTCTCTGACTCCAGAACTACGTGTGGCGCACAAAGGATAAAAACAAGAAGGGGGGAAAACAGAAATGGTTACGTTTGCAGGAAACAAGCACGTACTGCACAGAAAGACGAAACTCCAGCACTCCGTTGCCTGACACAAAATGCCCTCAGTCACGATGGTCTAATTACCATAGGAACCCACTCTAAACCATGATGTGCTCACAGGCGCTGACCTTTGAAAACACAAGGCTCACATTCACAGTAATGAAGAAACAATTGTTCTTGACATTCTTATTTTACAGACAAAAAGGCCACAGAACTCTCCTGTCCAGTCCTGACTCACTAACTTGCATTCCCCTTTTATAAGCCTGACGTGGGCCCAGAATGACCTCTCCTCATCAGCAGCCTGGGCTAATTAACAGACCCGGAGAGGGAGACATCGATAAGCACTTTTTCCATGGCTGTTGGTGCTGCGCAAAGGGGAGAACATGATTTAAGCCCCAAGGTATCTGCTGTGATAAGGGCTTTTTTTCCTCCCTGCCTGCCTTTCTTCTTTCCATTAAACCAGCTACATAAACATTTCAAAATCTAATCACCCTGAGTTTTCCTCATACTACAAGGCACCCTTGTCCCCCTTCAGCCAGCTACCACCCTGCCCTCCATCTATGGCCTGGAGCAGCTCAGAGACCCTAAACCTCTCCTAACCTGAGCAGCACCGTGAGGCAGGACGGCGCAGTGGTCACAAGCTTGGCTGGGAAGGCAGCTGGACCTCAATTCAAATCCTGGCTCCTCCACCTATGGGCTCTGTGGCCCTGGGCAAGTTATAAGCCTCAGTTTTCCCATATGAAAAATGGGGGTAACGATATGCCTGCTTCATACATGTTGTTTTAAGAATTAAAAGATATAATGCATGAGAGATGCTTAGAACAGTGCCTGGCAGAGCTCAGTAACGTTTGTTGTTTACCACCATCTTCTGTATCACCTCTTGTCTCTATTCTCTATCTTCCATGTAGCCCAGGGGTTAGCAAACCTTTTCTGTAAAGGGCCAGTTAGCAAATACTTTAGGCTTTGACGGCCATATGGGCTCAGTCACAACTATTCAACTCTGCTGTTGTAGCACAAAAGCAGCCGCAAACAATATCAAGTGAACGAGGGTGGCTGTGTTCCAATAAACCTTTATTTGTGGAAACTAGAGTTTGAATTTCATGTAGTTTTCACATAGCACATTCTTTTTCTTTCAACCCTTAAAATATAAAAACCCAGATGCAAGAAAAAAGCGTCCTCATGCTTTCTGTCCAATTGTGGCAGCCCAGATTGAAGAGGGAAATTTCTTTTGCAACTCAGAAGTAACCTTGTGAACAGTAAACCAAAGCCTGCTTTATTCCAAAGAAGAATTTGAGTTTACAAGAAAAGTATTGGAAAATTATTCCCCTACACCCTTGCCTTCTTATTGATTCCACTTTTAAAAGCATAAGAGCCAAGTCTCATTAAAGGCAAGCCAAAAAATATTATATATACACACACATGTATGTGTGTGTACACACACACACACACACACACACCATCCCTTGTTAAAGGGATGTACAAAAATAAGCATAGGCCAGATTAGGCCCAAGCGCCACAGTCTGCCAACCCCTCATGGAGCCAGTCCCTTAATTTCCTCCTCCTCTCTGGTTGCCTCCTTATCTCACCCTATATAAAGAGGGGAATAAAGCACTGCAGCTCTCACAGCCCAAGGCTCCATTTCAATGTGCGTTCCTCAGGGATCAAGCCAAAAATTATATATACACACACATGTATGTGTGTGTACACACACACACACACACACACACCATCCCTTGTTAAAGGGATGTACAAAAATAAGCATAGGCCAGATTAGGCCCAAGCGCCACAGTCTGCCAACCCCTCATGGAGCCAGTCCCTTAATTTCCTCCTCCTCTCTGGTTGCCTCCTTATCTCACCCTATATAAAGAGGGGAATAAAGCACTGCAGCTCTCACAGCCCAAGGCTCCATTTCAATGTGCGTTCCTCAGGGATCAGAGATGGGCTTTCCGGATCGAACGTCTTTCTAAGTGCCAGACACTGTTGGCCACTTTTGCATATATTTAGTATTTAATTCAGTGTACACAAGTCTGTGAGGTAGGCAGTCACTCTGCTTCATGGATGAAAAAACAGAGAGGCCAATTGACTGGCTCAAAGTCACACAGCCAGAAAGTGATAAAGCAGTCAGCCCAGGTCTCCAGAATCAAGTGCAGCACTCTGTCCACCACCCACGGCCACCAACCCTGCCATCTGCCACAAAGCAGAGCCTACATTCCAGGGAGATGGCGGAAGCCAAAGGGTGTCAGAGCAAAAGGCCAGGCAGGGGAAAAGGTTTCAAGTGATTTGCATCCATGTACAGCAGTCTATCTGCATCAGAGTCACCAGGAGTGCTTGTTAAAACACAGAACGCAGGGCCCCATCCCCAGAGTTTTTGACTCAGAGGAGAAGTGAGGCTTGAGAATTTGCATTTCTAACATGTCTCCAGGTTATAGTAAGGCTGCTGGTCCATAACCCAAAGCTCACTTTGAGAATCACTGAAATACTAATGTACACTCAAAAACATCCTTACTCTGGGAAACCATATCCATTTTTGCAAATTTCGTCCTCCTCTAAAATGAGGTTTTTATAACCTGTTTCAGTTGTACATTCTTTTAGCAGGTTGGCTGTCACATTTCTGCCACTCCCTTAGGGACAATTCCCAGATATCTGTCTTCTTGTCCCAACCACATGGCTGGGAAATTTACAGGACTTGATTTTTACTCACATTACTGCGATGTACCAGCTCGTGCAATCAAGGACAAGCTGTTAATCACCCTAAATTTCACTGTTTCCATCTATAAAATATAATCCTTACCCCACATACACCACACAGGGTTGCTGAGGTCAGGTACGTGACGTGTCCTAAAAGTGACCGTTTTTAAAAAATTTTTATTGGAGTAGAGTTGGTTCACAGTGTTGTGTTAGTTTCTGCTCTAGAGCCAAGTGAACCAGTTATACATGTACTTATTTCCACTCTTTTTCAGGTTCTTTTCCCATATACATCATTACAGAGTATTGAGAAGTCTTCCTTGTGCTATACAGCAGGAAAAGTGACCATTTTAACACTCACTAGTGCATCTATCCAGATCCTGGCCCCGAGATTTCCTTGCACCCGCAGGCCTTCAGATACCAGGTGACACACTATGAAAATGTTTCTCCTTCCTCCCCTGTATCTATCACTTTTACTATCTCATCTTCCTTCCTACGTTATTTCTAGTCCAGCTTTGTCAAGTCATTCTATCAAATTTATTTGATTTACACACACGCACTAAATGTCAATAGATTCTTTAAAAAAAAAATTTTTTTTTATACAGCAGGTTCTAATTAGTTATCTATTTTATACATATTAGTGTATATATGTCAATCCCAACCTCCCAGTTCATCCCCCCCCCCCCCCGCCCCCACTTCCCCCATCTTGGTGTCCACACGTTTGTTCTCTACGTCAACAGGTTCTGATGAGGGGCTATCAATAAAGGATGTGAACTTTGTACATGGATGTGGAGGCATGTTATTTTGTCTGCTCTTTGGCTGGGTTGGTTCTATTCATGTGATGTTGGCACACAGATGTGTCGTGGAAAGCTGAGGTGAGTCTGTTCCTCCAAAACCCTTAGGTATCATAAAGGGACTGTCATTGTGGAATCAGACAGCCTAGTTTGAATCCTGTTTTGCTCACTGCATATTCTGCAGCAAGGGACATAGCCTCATCTGTGAAATGAGAAATTTCTCTCTCATCATAAGGACTAAGTGGAAGTATGTGGCGTAAAGTGTGTGCTTAGTAAGATCGGGATCCAAAGCATAAGGGGAAAAAAATTTCCCAGACACAGCAATTAGAGCAGTTGACTCTGCCATTTGATAAATAGCCTTAAGAACATAATATCCTCAGGAATCAACCCACTTTTTCTTCTCATTCCAAGTCTTTAAACTGTTCCCCTTACCCTGTCCCCAAAAAGGCAGTTCCCAGGACTCTTCAGAACATTCCTTTCTTATTTAAAAGGGCTGCGTTCCTGACGTTTCATCCTCCTTCATCTGTTACCTACTCTTCTGAACCTTGAAGGTTGGTAGCAGCCCAGGGCCATTTGTGTCTGAGGGTGGCAGGTGAAATTTTATGTACATGATCATCAATTATTAACTCTTGGTTAGGGAGACTGTCAAAATGCTTCTCTCAATAAATGTTAGCTCAGAGCTCCCGTGATGGAGGAGGGCCTTGGAAAGCTGGGTCCCTCAGGAGGTTTTGCAGCACTGAGGAGACCAAGCCTTTTCATGAGAAGTTTAATTTATTTTGCCTTATCTTTTTCTCCATCTATTCTTTTTTTTTTTTTTGTGGTATGCGGGCCTCTCACTGCTGTGGCCTCTCCCATTGCGGAGCACAGGCTCCGGACGTGCAGGCTCAGCAGCCATGGCTCACGGGCCCAGCCGCTCCGCGGCATGTGGGATCTTCCCGGACCGGGGCACGAACCCGTGTCCCCTGCATCGGCAGGCGGACCCTCGACCACTGTGCCACTAGGGAAGCCCCATCTATTCTTTATATACAATCTTTTCTGGCCTGTGGCCACAGCTTACTTATTTTCCTTTATCTCACTCTGTACTAATTTCATTTTGGTCTGTTTTAAGCTTGTTTTGCTGATCACTTCTTGGGATCTCAGGACACTTTTCATTGAGTTAGATCTGTGTTTCCTGGTAGAGAATCCACGAGTTAGAGGAAAGGTGTTAAGAGTGGGTCTAAGAGCGTTCCATACTTTGTTTAATTTTTATTTGTGCTGTGTGTTAAAGAATTTACTCTTCCCCAAAAGGAGGTCTGGCCTTTGCCCTCTGGCTTCCAGGAGTTAATCTCTAAGCCCTTGGAATGTCATCCTGATAGGACTGTCTTTGTGCTAAACCAATAACGTGACTTAGGTTGGGGGCCTTTGAGCTCAACCTCCTAAGGGACTGGAGAGTGAGACGAACCACTTGGGCAGTG